CCCCGCGCGCCTTTTCCTCGCTGTTTTCATCGGTGTTAGGTTTCAAGGTGGATTTTAATTGGACCACAAAAATAAAGCGGTTTTTTGTATTATTAGAACAGAAAATTTAATTTGGACACCAGTTCGTTCCTCTGACTTTGCTATTTTCCTGCTCGCTTTTGCAGCCCAAATCGTAAACAGGCTTACCTGAATGTAGATAGCTATAATCGACTGACTTTTCAGTCCATATGTATAAAGCAGTTGGTTATTGATCCTCTGTCAAGTGGAACTCAACTTTTACCCAGTTATAGTGCTGAAGGGTATCCTAACAATCTTACCTTTCTTAATAAATGTATTATTTTCAAAACATTGCAGAATACAAATATGCAGTCTTTATTTAAAAAATTATTTTGTAGTCCTGTGGCCAAGCGGATTGAAAAGAGTAATTGCCCAATTGCATACTTGTATGTATGTTGGGATAGGGAAAAGAAGGATCTTGTTTTCATTCCTGCAAAAAGGAAGAATGTCCTATTGGCTATAACTCATATTTTGCTTCAGTCTTCTTTATAATTAATATAATTGGAAACATTGAAATATTTTGTCTGCTAGCTGGCTGCCCAGATTGCATGTGAGGATTCAGACTCTCCATTATAACTTTTCAGTCAGAAGTCTCAGGGAATATGGTGCATATGACAATCAGAATTTTTTATGGAAAATTCCTTTTCACTTCCCTCCCATATGAATGGCTTTTTTCTGTCATCCACAAGAGGGCAGCAGAGAGCTCAAAAATTCCTCTGAAAAAATGGCAGCAAAGTCATCTAAACACTCCCGGCCATGCATATTTAAAGAACTCTTAATTCCCTTTTATCCCTAAAAATATCCAGATTCATCCTTTTGTGATAGCCATTTGACTGCAGTGTTTGTTTGTCTGTTTTAACCTTAGCTGTGCAGTAGCTAAGGTTCCTTTTCTTGTACAGGTGTGCTTCAGTTTAGTTTAATTGATAAGATGAGAGCTGTCAGGATAGACCTATCAGGTTTTTATTAACTTGCTTGGAATTGTGATTCCTTCGCAGGGACGCAGGTAGCGGTTTTAAACTAAAGGAGCTGTAAGCGTATTGGGCAAATGAAATGGCTGTTATGGAAAGGAAACACTGATTCTGCTATTGCTTGTTTAAGTGTAACAATACCAAACATTTGTGCTAGAGCAAATTCTGCCATAATACCATAATACCCTACTTCATTTCAGTTCTGAGGTTTCTGGCAGTTTTAAGAATTGTTCTTGTTTAAAGGTAGTGTATTTGATTGCTGGACTTCAGCTATTTTGTTATTTTGTCTCTGGAGTCCCCCTGCAGCAAATAGCCCAGGAAATCTCTGGAGATGAGGCGTCAGGCAGTGATAGAAATTAACATTCGCCCCAGCTTTTCCTGTCCCAACTGCTCCAAGAATGCAACCTGCAGAAATTAGCCAAACTATTTCCAGATAAATAGCTTACCTTACACAACTATTAGATAGTTTCATCTTTAAAGCTTTGAATGATGACTAGGGCTAAGCTCTTCATAATTATAGTTAACTTTGGATTTTGCAACATGTCTATATGATTGAGCTTGTAGATAAGAATGTTAGTTTGAAGTCTGTTGATAGTTCCAACAATTACATTAAAGTTGGCAGATGGATTACTTCCTTTTCATCTATTAATTAAACATCTTTCAGAATTGGGAACACTCTTGCCGTGAATATCATGTGTGGATAAAAGCCTGTTTACCTCAAAAGAATAGATCTTCCTGTTTCCACAGAGTTTCCTCTTTGAGTCAGCTTATTCTGATGCAATTTTTGTGCTGAAATGACCCCTACTGGTCACTATGTAGAACTTTTTAAAAAATCTTTGAAAGATTTCGTGACAATGTGACATTAAAATATGTTTCTTTATTCAGCCAATAAGTTACTGTTTAAAACAAATATGCATACTTGCCTCAAATCTAGCGAAAACAGGATTTTTGAAATGCAGGAAAGCCAAACACAATTGCAAGTGTTTAAAACACTGGTAGTTTAATTAGAAGGTGATGATTTATGCTACATTTGCTTTGCATATTTTATATAAATATGAAATAGCATCCTTCTGCCAATAGTAGGATGGGCACAAATAGCAGTTGGGTCAGATTCCGGCAGCTGTTATATTATTGTTATTTTGTGTGCCTTGTCTCTTGTGTAATCAGACACCAAAGAGAAGTTGTTCCTTATTAGCATATATAATTTAATTTGTTTAACGAATACTATACTTTTTTGTGGAAACAGCTTCATATTAGTAGTGATAAAAGAACAATCTTAAGATAATATTGACAAGATGATATCCCATTAGAAGGATGCTGAGTATGGTTATCTGGAGAAAAGAACTCCAAATAGTAAAAGCTGTTTAATTGATTTTAAGGCCAAAAAGATTAAACAACCAAATAATGTTTCTCAGTGAAACATGTATCAACAGAACGGTGAAAGAAGTCTACAATATTGCTTTGCTATGCATATACTTGAACTATTAAGTCTTCAGAATTTGCCATGACTCTCATAAAAGTACTTAAAATTTGGGCCCAAATGCCCTATGAATAGAATACCCTTTAGATTTTCCTCCCAATCATTGAAGATCCTTGTTCTGAAACCAACCCCTTTTGTATAACTTTTGTGTTCCCATACTTTTAAAATGTGGTTAGGAAATATATATAAGAACACATATCATGTGGAAACTTGTAGAGACTTTATTGCATAAAAAAATTAAGTCTTGGATACACTTTTTGAATCGGCATATGTGTATACATTATTCTTTGAGCAATGTATCAGCTGGTTTCCAGAATGCATCATCATATTCACATTTTCCTACTAAGGAAAAGACAAAGTTAAGTTTCAGTCTTTAACCTGGAAATTGGCTGTCTAGCAGTTGTCAATAGAGTCAGTCTGCATATTTATTCAGAACTTGTTTGCTTTACTTTTAATTGGGTATATCCAGGATTCAATATAATTACATGTCATTAACTGAATCCTGTTCCTTTTTGTAAAAGTATTGATAAAGGTTGCAACACTCCTAAGGCTGATAAAAGTCACAAGTCTCAATAATAAAAGCCTTTTAAAAACTTAGATATTGAAAAATGATCTCCTAAAAGTAAATGCACAGAATTATTTGAGTTACATTGATGTGATAGCTTGAAGAGGTCATTGCACTGAATTAACATTGTGCCTGTATTCTACAATCTCCAATTAATTTCCATTTAAAGGCAATGTAACTATGGATGATGCAGTTCTTTTCTCAACATATCTACCCTTCACCTTAATGAATGGGTCACTATAAGTACACAGTCTCTTTGACCTCTGCATGTTATGTCCAAACGTTCAAAGAGCTGAAATTTCCTTTTGTTGGTGAAATGATAATTTGTATGATTGACCTGTTTAATTGATATTTTCCTTTTTTTTTCTCCTTTGAGAGAGGCAAACAGATGTCACTTTGGCTTCTCCCAAAGAATCCTGGAAACTGCTGAAAATCATTAGTGATTCCTAAACTGCTACTATAATTAACATTTCTAGGGGGAATGGAGACCTGTAAAGTTGATGAAAGTCTTGTGTGTGCCATTGTCCTATTAATAGCATTAGATTTATTTGTTTTGTGCTGAATTTCAAAAATTGTGTTTGCGTTACCATACACAGTTATTTCTAAAGACATACATAAAAGTTGAGATATCAAAATTATATGGATTAAAAATATTGCTAGAGTCAGTAAACATCTTGCAGTTGTGAATGCACTCTATTACAACTGACTGCTGATATGGCTGTTCTTAAGCAAAAACTGTAGATAAAGCAACATTTATTTTTTAAAAAAACTGGCAGGATTATGTGACAGCCTGTTCAGGCAAATCTGTTTGCTATGAAATCATTCTGGTTTAAGCTCTGCATCTTTTGTGTGAATATTGCTTGCAGTATTTAGAACACTTTCAGACTCTTGTATACTGCTCAATTGAATGATCAGGGTTAGTTTTTTCCATCCTCTTTGCTTGTATTCACTTGTAGCTGCTTTTTATATTTAATTTTCAACATAGTTATATGGGGTTTAATGAACTCACCGTGTTCCCATTTCTTAATTTCTGCATTATAATAGAATCATCCCAAAAATAGCAATGATAACTTGCTAAATAAGGCTTTCGAAAGTGTGCATTCACATCTTGTGCCATGGAACCATACAAATTTTATTAAAGATTATCACAACATTGGTACAGAAGGCAACTTACTGTATTTAAAACTTTTTCAAATTAAATTTGAAAGGTTCTCTTCTTGAACAATAAACTTTATCAAATGTGCCAAAGCATCTGCGCTCATTTTTTAAAATTTTTGATACATCCACTGTATATCATATTCCGTGAAGGGAACAAGCCAGCAGAGATTGTTTGAAACACAGGAATAGTCTTATGGATGCAATATTGGTTCATATATAATGGTCATATGCCATTGTGAGCCCATTTTGGACATACTAAAATTAAACACAGTATTCACTTTGTTCTGGCA